TGTCTTCGGAAAAAGCCAGATTTGACGGGAAAAAAGCTGAATTGGCAGCAGTGATAATTTCCACTAGATGACTAATTCTTTTGTCTATTTCAAAAATAATAATGCAACCCGAATATATGAACATATTTAGACTTGATTTAAAACGCCTTGGTATTTTTTCTTATTAATTTTCTAATGGCTAAGTATCGATATACTCTTCGTTTCATTTTGTGCGTTTGCTTGATTAATTTTTGGTATTTTACCCATTAGATATCGATATATACAATACAATAATACGGTATAATTGCAGGATTTGGAAAAACCCGGCATTGACTCGGAGCCGGCTCATGTTCTGCTGCGCTATGAGGATGGCTATCAATACGAGAAAACCTTTGGGCCGTTGGTTCGTCTCGAAGCTGACTATGACAAGAAGCTGAAGGAGTCTGCGACACAGGAGAATATCGAGGTGCGCTGGGATGTGGGCTTGAACAAGAAGACCATCGCTTATTTTACGCTTGCCAAAACCGATTCGGATATGAAGCTTATGCATGGCGATGAGCTGCGTCTACGCTACGTGGGAGAGCTATATAATCCGTGGAGCGAGATTGGTCATGTCATTAAGGTGCCCGATAACTTTGGCGACGATGTTGGCTTGGAACTTAAGTGCTCGTCGAATGCCCCGGTCAAGTGCACCAGTAACTTTAGCGTGGACTTCATCTGGAAGTGTACCTCATTCGATCGCATGACTCGGGCTCTTCGAAACTTTGCGGTGGATCGTAATTCGGTATCGAATTATATATACTCTCGCCTGCTGGGCCATGGACGCGCCGATGGCACTGATGAGGTGCTATTTCGTGGGCCACAGCCCAAGCTGTATAGTGCTCCCCACTTGCCGGACCTCAATCGTTCACAGGTGTATGCCGTGAAGCACGCCTTGCAACGCCCACTCAGTCTTATCCAAGGACCGCCAGGTACGGGCAAAACTGTCACTTCGGCCACAATCGTCTATCAGCTGGTGAAGCAACACGGCGGCACGGTTCTGGTTTGCGCGCCTAGCAACACTGCTGTGGACCAGTTGACCGAAAAGATCCATCGTACCAATCTGAAGGTGGTGCGCGTCTGTGCCAAGAGCCGTGAGGCGATCGACAGTCCGGTGAGCTTTTTAGCCCTTCACAATCAAATCCGGAACATGGAAACCAATTCGGAACTGAAGAAGCTTCAACAGCTCAAAGACGAAACTGGCGAGCTGAGCTCAGCGGATGAGAAACGCTATCGCAGCCTGAAACGTGGCGCCGAGAACCAACTACTCGAGGCGGCCGATGTCATCTGTTGCACCTGCGTGGGTGCCGGAGATACGCGCCTGTCGCGCATTAAATTCACATCGATACTGATTGACGAATCGATGCAGTCGACGGAGCCGGAGTGCATGGTGCCCGTTGTGCTGGGCGCAAAGCAATTGATTCTAGTCGGCGATCACTGCCAGCTGGGTCCGGTGGTCATGTGCAAGAAGGCGGCACGCGCCGGTCTCTCCCAGAGTCTGTTCGAGCGCCTGGTGGTGCTGGGAATACGCCCGTTCCGCTTGGAGGTACAATATCGCATGCATCCGGAGCTGTCACAGTTTCCGTCCAACTTCTTCTATGAGGGTTCGCTGCAGAACGGTGTCTGTGCGGAGGATCGCCGCCTCAAACTGGACTTCCCATGGCCGCAACCGGAGCGTCCGATGTTCTTTTTAGTTACGCAGGGCCAGGAGGAAATCGCTGGCTCGGGCACATCTTTTCTCAATCGCACCGAAGCGGCCAACGTGGAGAAAATCACAACACGCTTCCTCAAGGCGGGCGTCAAGCCCGAGCAAATCGGAATCATTACGCCCTATGAGGGACAGCGAGCCTATTTGGTCCAGTATATGCAGTACCAGGGCAGCTTGCATTCGCGCCTCTACCAGGAGATTGAGATAGCCAGCGTGGATGCGTTCCAGGGTCGCGAGAAGGACATCATCATCATGTCCTGCGTGCGCTCGAATGAACGCCAGGGCATTGGCTTCCTCAACGATCCACGTCGCCTCAATGTGGCCTTAACTCGTGCCAAGTACGGCATCATCATCGTGGGCAATCCCAAGGTGTTGGCCAAGCAGCAGCTTTGGAATCATTTGCTCAACTTCTACAAGGATCGCAAGGTGCTAGTTGAGGGCTCATTGAACAATCTGAAGGAGTCGCTCATCCACTTCCAGAAGCCCAAGAAGCTGGTGAACAACATGAACATCGGCGCCCATTTCATGTCCACCATGATGGCCGATGCCAAGGAGGTGCTGGTGCCCGGCTCCATATATGAGCGCACCAGCGGCTACGGTCGCCAGATGGCAGGCAACTCCAATCAGAATCTGAATGGCGGAAATTATGCTGCCAATTCCTATGGGTCTCTTGGCGGCGGAGTTGGCGCCGCTGGTGCTGCCGGTGGCAACATGTCAAATGCGGTCTATGGCGCCGGCAACGGGTCCGCTGGCGGCAACAATAACTATGGCACCGCTGGTGGCGTCGGCATCGGTGGCGCATCTGGAAACGCGTCCAATTGGCCAACTGCCCACTTGCATGACTCCATTGGGTACATATCGAATGATCACGGGGTCGCTGCACTGGGCAACATGCCTGTGCCGGTGGGCATGTTCATGAACATGAGCAACCTGCCGCCGCGTTTCTACAATCACCATCAGCAGGCCATAATGGCGGCGAAGCAGAATCGCGCCATGCAGAGCCAGTCCGGGTTTGCAGCTCCGATTGTCACTGGCAAGAAGAACAGCAAATTGTCTAAAGGACCGCGCAACAGCAATGCAAACTCGATCCAGTCTGGAATTGGAGCTGGTGCTGGTGGAGTCGGTGGCAATATTACGGGTGCAGCTCGTGCAGGCGGTGGAGCGGCTTTAATGTCGTCCACAACCACTATGCCAACAACAACCACAGAGATCACAGCGGCCACATCATCGATGGGATCGACACCATTCAGCCAACAGCCGTCGGCCATGTCGCTGCAGATGACACAGCCGAGCGGATTCGCCTTGTCACAGCAGCCGGAGCTCTCGCAGGACTTTGGCCACATTTCTCAAATGGATGGACTGCTCTCACAGGATGTCTCCTTCAATGTGGTAAGTTCTTACAGAATCAATCGCAAGCATAAACGATCAACCATCCAATCAACGGTGCGCAAGATATGCTAGAGTCCCCAAATCAAGATATTGGCGAATGGAATATATGTTATATATTTACCATGTATCTTGTATAAATAATATAAGTTAAATCACCAACAAGTTATTCTTGTCATTAAGCTCGATTCATAATGCTCCATTTATGTAAGTCTAAACATAACTCATCTTCAGTCTAACGAATAACTGTATCTTAAATTTAACTCTATAGCTGAAATGCGAGAAATGATCGGAATTGATTCGATTCGCTATGCTCATCTTATTATTATTAATATAAGTATGCATATTACTATTCCAATCTAACAAATGGGAGATTGATGTGTCGTTATTCGTTATATTTTTATAATATTATAAATTACTTATAATTGGAATAGATTATTATCGAGTCAATATATACATTATTTCTAGAGTTCCAAGAGTTAACGAGTTAAGTTAGCCTTCTGATTCTTGGCCTGAAAAGTTGTATATGTATGTCGCTGCGTATTAATAAGTATTTTTTATCTATTTCTCACTATTTAATACTAAATTATTTTAGAATCAAAACAGTTTCATTCGAAACGTAATTGATTTGCTTAAGCTAGAATCTAACGCGTAATTCCATTCGATAGGATTTTAAGCTAATGATTCTTACATCTCTCTCATTCTCTTCCTCTTCATGTTATAGTCGGGCGAACGCAGTTTGAATCAATTCTCGCAACCTTACTGAGATGCTCGAGGAGGTGCGCACAATTGCAATAACCAATTACAACAACAAATACAGCAAACCAAAACAACAAACAAATTGTAAGAACTTGAAGCCATTATGCAGCAGCAGCAGCAGCAGCAGCGGCGGCGGCGACTGCATTGGCAGCGACAGCAAGAGCGACAGCAGCGGCGGCGATAGCAGCAGCAACAGCAGCAGTTAGAACGCGGCGAAAAAAAAAATATAAAAAAAAGAAAAACAACAGAGACAGCGACTGGCGACAACAGCAGCAATAACAACTTGAATGCAAGCATCAGAAAGTAAGACAGAGATGCAAATAAAGGTATCATGGAAACAGCAGCAGCAAGGCAAAATAGGCTATGAAAGACTTAACTCGGCCACACAAAAGAGAACAGGCGCTAGCCAAGCAGCATAGAACAAGCGCGAGAGAGACAAGCATAGAGTGAAGAAAGGCAGCAACAATGACAGAGACACACTAACACACATAAGCATACAGGCATATGCCCTAAAAATGTAGGTGGACAAACTTTGCGCATAAGCTGTCTCTCCTCTCTCTCTCTCTCTCTGTTACTTAACAGTTCAGCCTTGTCGTCTGATCCTAGCTGGCAAGTGGGCAAAGGAATCGGCAGCCACACTGCGCGATATGCGGGCTGCGCCAGCAGATGCAATCGTCGTTGTAGATGACAACGTCGCGGCGCATTGTTACTTTTTTCTTAAAAAAAAATAAAATAAATAAAAAAAAACTAAAAAATAGCAAATGGAAAGATCTGAAAGTAACAAACGAAAATAGAGAAGTGCAATGCGCGGATTAAGGCCGCTTCAGTATGCCCAACAAGTTACTTTCCACCGGCCCACAGACAGCAGATTTTTGTCTTCTCTGTTTTGTGTTTTTGTCTGGCCTATGTCGATTTTTGGAACTTTCCATTGTTAAAATCAACCTTTTTGCCACACTGTTGTTTATTTCCAGCACGTTTTTGTTAATTGTATGCGAGTGCCATTTGTTTCTGTTTTTCGAAAATCAAAAGCAAAAAAAAAGATCCAATTTCGCACACACACAAACACTTACACATAAACATTCAAACACATTCAAACTCATATATACACACAAACACATACCAACATAATCACTTGCACACACACACAAACATTACACATACACTCTTACACGCATATGTATTTTCAAGCCTTTGTGATAACCTTGTGGCGCCCTCTAATGGCAGGAGAGGCGATCAAATGAGATCTTTTCGATATTCAAATTGCTTGGAAATCTCTTATTGTAGTCGAAAACATTATTCAAACACCCAATTTTATAATATTGTTTTATTCAAACAATTCTAGAATTTGTTATTTAAAAAATAGAAATATATATATATATATATATACTGAACATACATGTATATTTATATATAAAAATTTATTTATCTTGATTTGAAAAAAAAAGTGGCGTCCTATGGCGGCGATCAGCCAAAACGCTATACCCATATTTTTAACGGTTTGGAAAACGATTTTAATTTGAATTCAGAAGATGATCGATTATATTTAATTGTGATGGCCACAAAAAAAAAAAAAAAAAAAAAAAAACATTTGCAATGAGTTGTATTTGATCCCTTCGTTCCAACACATCCACAATACAATCAAACAAAATAGAAAAACAAGATGAATTCAATTATTGTAAAGATAGTGCTTATTTCCACATACGTAAAAATTGTGATTATTTCCCAACCCGATTTCAAAAAGAATAAAAACAGTTTCTGAATAAAGAATTTCATTTAATTTTGCAAAACGGATGAAAAATTTTAAACGAAAGTTGCATTTTTAATTTTTTTGTTATTGTTTTTTTGTTTTTTATAGATTTTTTTTTTTTTTAATTTCTGCAGCTCTTTCGCATAACATAATTTACATTTCATGATTGCTTTTTCTTTCTTGGTTTACGACAGTTTTTCCTAAGAGGTTTATCAATGCATGCCAATGGGAAATCGGGAAAATTAAATTTGAATTTTATTGGCATGCTTACAATAATAATTTGTGACGTGAAGCGATCAGAGAAAAAAAACTTACAATAATTACATTGACGGGGCTACGATTGGATATAATTTAAATAGCGAACAACATGGACAAAGGTGATATAAATATAGAGAGATGAGTGCCACGGATATCCAAGCTCAGCTTGAATTACTGAGCTTGGATTTACATAATGCACTTTGAAAATCTTGAAGCCAATAGCTTTTACAATATTTTAATTTAATATATACGATTTTTTTTTACTAAATATATAATTTTATTATTATTTTTTTATTTTAGTTTGCTGCGTTTACTTATGTTGGTGTTGATCTTTTTTTTTAAATTATTTCTTGCAGCGCAAATACTTAATTGTGTGTGTGTGGGGGTGTGTGAGGGTGTATGTGTGTGTGAGTCTGTAAAAAATGCATTTACATATATATATGATCATTGACAGATTTCTTAAGGTTTCATTCGTTTTCTAAGATTCTTCTCATGCTTTTTGTCAGACTTTGTTAGATGTGCATAGTTAATATATAAGGTATATATACATCGTGATGTTTTCTAAGCTTCTAAATTTTGTCGAGATTGCCTGCTAGGGCTATTATCATATCCTATTTCTATTTCATTTCCCTTGGCGAAAGAGAGACAGCAATAGTTACTGAATGTAGCCTCAAATGTTGCTGAATGTGAACGAGACGGCTACTTCTACAGACTGTCAATGGATGAGAAAGAGACGACTAGAAGTTGTCATGCATCAATGTGAAAGAGATGCAGACAGGAAACTCGTTATTTGCAGCAGTTAAAAAAATATAAATTTGAAATGGAAGATGATCACATTGACACAAACTCGATATATCTGTATATATATAAATACCTTAAACTATGCACATGTAAATTCGAACAATATTACTAGAATAACAGCTCTTCTGTCTATATAAGTTTTACATGGATTTTCTATCACCATATATGTACACCATATGTATGTATCACAGGTAGTTCAATTACATTTAGCTCTAAGCAATATGAACCTTAGTTTGACTTTTGTACTACATATTTTTCAGTCTATGAATTGCTTATCATTATTTTTCTCTCTCTCTCTTTTAAAGTCTTGCTTATGCGCTAGCCTAAGACTGTTTAGCTTCAAGCTCTAGCAGCTGCAACTGACCTGTGGGTAGGGAAGTGCCTGGACGCAAATCTTCCATAGATGGCAATCAGACAAGGTGTGCGGGGGGCGGCGCAAAGGCTACGCCAGGGTTGCGTGGGTGCAGCAGCTGATGTGCCTGATGGCTGACTGGGTGGGTGTGTGTGTGGGTATGTGTGTGGGTGGGTGGATGGTTGTGTGGATGAGTGTGGGAGTGGATGTGACAGTGGATTTGGGTAGGTGGGGTTTGGTGGTGCAGCAGCGCCTGCGGATTCATGGCCGTGATACGTTGATGGTGCTGACAATGAATGGGCGTGAATATGGACGCCAGATCTAGCGTGTGCTCCAGCCGGCGTGCTGAGGCCACAAAGACTGTCTTGACGCGCTCGAATGTGGCTTGGTCGTACACCGATCGTGCCGTATTGGACAGATCGAAGGGCTCTGGCAGGAAGACGATGAACATGATGTCAAAGATGGCTGAGAGACGAATGAAGTAGAGATGTGGCATACCCTCAATATTCAGCTCCTTCCACTGATGTATATCGTTCTTGGGGCTCTTGGCCAGCCGGCAGGCGGTCACCGGTAAAACGCCGCCGGTGCGTATGGATATAGCGTTGTTCCGATAGCTGCAAATACACGTACATAGAGACATACATATATCGGTATATTTCGTACAGCACTCACTCAAAGCTGCTGTAGTACTTGAAGAAGCCGAGCAGATGCTCGCCGAGAGTTTGGGTATTGTGCGTCTGATACGGCTCGATCGGCTCTATCAGGTCCAGGTCGAGGCAATCCTGCTGCCCCAAGTTGAACTTCTCCGGATACAGGGCTTGCAGGCAGGGCAGCACATGGGGAGTACAGCCGTACTGCAAATAGTGCAGCACCATCAGCACCAGCGAGTAGCTCGACACGGTCATGCGCTTGGCATCGTTGATGTCGTGATATTGAGCCCACAGCTTGACTATAACCACCAGCGGACGAGTGCGCCAATCCACTGTGCAGGCATCAGGGAGAGAATAATACATATATAGCTAATTGTATATATGTAGTAGAATCCGATTATAATGACGCTCAAGGGATCGTCGTTATACCAGGAAGACGTTATAACCGGACACTACTTACTGTATACCATAATATATGTATGTATGTATGTATATCATTGCTCTCTAATATTTATCTCTTATGTTATATACATATATTCAAAGCACTTCAATATGGTGTATATTAGTTTAATCAGATTACTTACACTGCGCATACAATTGCAGTAAATACGTGTTCTTAATGCCCACTGAATTGTTATAGTTGAGATCGACTTCGATGCCATTGATGCGATCTTTAAAGCGAAGTATCGGGACACGCGCTTCAATCAAATTGAAGTCCTGAAAAGCTTCTAAAATCAAACGATTAATCAACATAAAATAACTTTGTTATCTAATGTAAACATATGTATAACTGTTTTCATTCAGTTTGAAGTAGCTAAGCATGCGATCAAATTGATTTTGAAATGCCGTCAATATTCAATAAAAAACACAAAAAACAGAAACGATGCAAATAGGAAAAGAGTTACAAGAGCTTGTAAGGGATTGCAAACAACTTGAAATAAAGAAGAGCTTTAAGGCCTATTCAAATTTCCGTTCATGCAAAGAGTGAGATCAAGTTAATCGCATGCTAAGGCTGACTTAGAGCCAAGGACTAGGCCAGAGACTTGCCCATTTCTTTGAGGACGGCATTGAACAGATTCAGTATCATGAGCGCCTCGGCGCGCAGCTCGTTGTTGTAGTGGTGCTGCTGCTGTTGGTGGGTCTGATGCTCTGGCAGCAGGCACATGTCGATGTCCGACGAGTCCGTTCCGAAGCCGGTAATCGTGGAGCCCACCAGGCAGATGCGATAGCGCGAGAACATCGGCTGCTGGAAGAATAAACATTTTGAAATTTTCTTTCTGCCTATCTCTCTCTCTGCCTCTTTCCTTTTTCTCTGCGCTTCTCTGACTCACGTTTATCCAGATGAACAGATGTCGCCATAGGCGCATCTTGAGCTTGAACTTGGCGTGCGTCTGCTGCGCCCCGCGAAATCGTTTCCAGATGTCCAGCGACAGATTGTCGTACTTGCTGTGGCACAGCAGCTGCTCGGGCTGTATGGTCAGCTCTACGTTACGTGCGTGATCCAAATAGCGATCCGGCGGAATTATCAGCTCGTACCAGGATGCTGGCCAGGACGCGCTGGCTGCACTGCCGCAGCCGCAGTTGGGACCGCAATAGTGCTGATATGGCCCACTGTGATTGGGTGGTGGAGGCGGCGGTGCTGGGGGTGGCGCTGCTCCTGCTGCCGAAGCGGATTGCGCTGGTGGCGGTGGTGGTGGTGGTATGCCAAACGGCAGCATCCCATGCAGGCTATGGGGCGACAACTGCTGTTGACTGGCTGTCGAAATTCCGGGATTCGAGCCAGCCGCCGAGGTGAGCGGCGTTGGCGATACGGACAACAGCTCTGCGGATGTTAGACTGCAGTGTGATTCGAGTGCAAATGGAAATTTCAATTCAAATTAATGGGAATATATACAGTTATCGAGTGGAAGTGTGGAATGTTAAATGGAATGTTAAATGGAATGTTATTGGCAGGCACAAGAAGAAAACATTTCAGAAATGGTCGTTAGACTGTAATCGCTCGATTATCGATTACTACCGTTAGACGGCATAGCTCAGAGCTAACGACTACAAAAAGTTTTCTTATTGGACATAAATAATCGATAGCACATCGATCAATACTGTAATGATAAGAATGTTCATAAAAATGTTCCACTCTGATGTAAGCTTAGTTACAGATGTTAAGCCAATGAAAAGAAATCGATTTGTACTGCGAGACAACAGACATATACAGTAGAATCCGGCTATAACGACTTTGCTTATAGCGTCCGTACGAGTTTACGGCTAATGCGTCTTCTAAGTTTAATGACGGTCCCTTGTGAGTGGTATATACCCTTTATATTATTTAACAGGAAATTCTCAAAATGCAAAGATTTGCATGTACCCTTTTTCTCTACATTCTCTATTTAACCCTATCTATATATCTCACTTATGCTCTATATCTCACTTAAAAGACTGTAGTTATTTACTAGCAACATTTACCGACTGCGATTGCTGCTCCATTGAGACTCGCTGGCCAGCGAGCACGTGGACGAGGCGGGCGAGACGGCGCGATGCGACGGAACGCGATTGTTGGCCGAGCCACTCGAGATGCTGCTCGGACTTGGACCATAGACGGCCGGCGGATAGCAGGGCGAGTTAGCATGGGACCAGGCAGTACCGTTATAACCATCGCCAAAGCTAAAGAAAAGCTGTTGTTGCTGCTGATGGTGTTGCGGTTGTTGCTGTTGTTGCTGCTGCTGTTGTGTTTTGTTGGGGAACAACTGTTGCTGTTGCTGTTGCTGCTGTTGCTGTTGTTGATGCAGCATGAAAGGCAGCGCTGCATAGGTGGGACTGGGCACGTTTAATACGCTGTTTAAATCGACGTTCTTGTTGTTGCTGCCGCTGTTGCTGCTGCTGTTGATGTTGATGTTGCTGTTGCTGTTGCTGTTGCCCGTACTGCTGGCAGCGGCCGCTGTGATGGCCTCGTCCAATTGTGCACAGCTAATCATATTGGTTGGCGTCGTCGCAATAGCATCCGGCGTCAAGGCCACCGGCGACAATATGCCCGGACCAAGCATGGCCAGCTGCAGTGTTGGCGGCGGTTGCAGAAACATGTTATGATTGCTGCCAGCTGCAACAGTTGCTGCTGCAGGTGCAGTCGTTGCTGTTACTGCTGCCGGAGTTTCGGTTGCTTGTGGCTTTAACTGCATATTGTTGCCAGCAGCAGCTGTCGATGTTGCTGTTGCTGTTGCTGCTGCTGTTGCTGTCGCAGGCATTGTTGCTGCCGGCAAATCAACATTCACATAGGTCAGATTATAGAAATTCTGATGCTCGGCGCTTGTGGGCGTATTGCTGCCCGGCATTAGCGAATGATGATAATGATGGTGATGGTGATGATGATGTTGCTGCTGCTGCTGATGATGATGATGCAGCTGATAGTAGCCATTCTTGCCGGCCACATGATTGCCATTGCCAGCAACAGCAACATTCGGTATGCGACGATGATGTGCTCCATTGTAGTTGCTGGCGTTCACAATCTCAATCGATTTCTGACCAGATGTTGTTGGCGTGCAGCTGTTGTTGTTGCCGTAGTGCAGCTTCTTGTTGTTGCGCCGAAAGTGTGTGTTGTGCATGTGATTCTGATGTTGCTGCTGTGCATGATGCGGGTGTTGCTGTTGTTGCTGCTGCTGCTGCTGCGACTGTTGCTGCTGATGATGGTAGTTGTTGTTATTGCTACTATTATTATTATTACTGTTATTGTTGTAGCTGTAGCTGCCATTGCGATAGCGCTGCTGATAAGCGCCCGACTGTTGCTGTTGCTTATGTTGCTGCTGCTGCTGCTGCTGTTGCTGCTGATGATGTTGGTGTTGATGATGCTGCTGCTGCTGCTGTTGGCTGTTGCTGTTGGTGTTGTCCGCATCGGGCAGCAACTCCTTTTGCAGAAATGATGCTATTGTCAGCTGCTTGGGCTGCGAGCAATAATACGGATAATAATGCGGCTGCTGATCAGTTGTTGCTGCTGTCGCTCCTCCGCCCCCTGCTGCTGGTGTTGTCGCAGCAGCAGCTGCTGCTGCTGCAATGGCCAGTTCCGTTTCCTTTTGTGTGGCCAGCGCCGCCTCCAACTGCTGCTGTAGCAAGCGGGTGAAATACTTAAGTGATTGTTAATAGTAAAAGAATACAAATCTGTTTCAAAATATCTTCGGTATACCAAAGATTTCAATATGCTTGCAGTTCTGTTCGATTTATATGCATAGATAGATACACTATGTGAAAATATTAAAATAAATCAAATGCTTTTCTTTTTAAGTCATGTTTGCATTAAATAATTGAAAATATATTATATAAATTTATATATAGAGCAAATATTTATATCAATCTTGAAGCACTACAAGCATAGAATATATATTTATATATACATATACAAAATTAATGGATTAAAGCAAATAATAGCTCAAATTATTAGCAAAGAAGCGTACTTTAATCGGGCGTATTTGGCTAGGAGATACTTTGAACTCTATGACTCCAAACATTCTACGCAAATTTAGAGCCTTATACTGATATCTACAATTCCGTTTTTTTCTAGTCGACATACGTTTTTAATTAATCTGTGAGAATGGGGAACAGCCATTCAAAAACTACGTATCCACCACAAATTTTAAATTTCTAGCCGTTAGGATATTCCAACGAACCATTTGAACTAATTCCAACTATCGATTATTATCGTAGGTAATGTAATGAGCTGAATTATCGAAGTATTCAAATATACGATTAGCATTTCAAGTCTCTAGCTGACGTATAGGCAGAATCTAGCCATATATTGGCTCAACTTGTTGCCCTGCGCAGAACTATAGGTACTTTATAGGGTCTGCCAGGCCGTCATTTACCTCTTACATTTTCACATGACCGTTAGACACCACGTGGCCATGATCAATGTGTTCAGGTATTTAAAACAAATTCTGTTTAATATTTGACTATTTTGTGCTTCTTCCTATAATTTGCAATATATATTATATATCAATATTTACTCTAGAGCTTATCTTAACAGTTAGCTCACTTCCTTCTGCTGCAGCGTCGGTTGCTGTGGATAGCTCGTCTTCCAGAAGCACAGCGGCTGTTGCTTAGATCTTTGCGTCGCCTTGTTGCTGTTGTCCGATTGTTGGGGCAATGCGTTAACTATTGCTGTTGCTGCTGCTGCTGCTTCTGCTGCTGCTGTTGCTCCTGGCTGTTGCTTTGCAGCTTTTGTTGTTGCTGTTTCAGTTGGTGTTGATAATGTTGCTTGCGGCTGCTGTCGCTGCTCATCATCATTTGGGTTACTGTTGCTGTTACTGTTCGTTGTTGATGAGTTTGAGGACTCGGAACAGTTGTGATAAAATGTAGATGATGTGCTCGATTCAGCTGACGATGAGAGGGAGTTGCGTTTCTTGATGTTGCCGTTGTTTGATTTTGTTTGCAACTTTGTGACAGCATTGTTGTTATTGTTGTTGTTGCTGTTATTGTTGTTGTCGCTGTCGTTGTGGTTCTTGCAGACGTTCTCTTCAATTAGGTTTTGATTTTTCATTACATTATTATTATTGTTGTTGTTGTTATTATTGTTTGAGAGCTTTGCGGCTGCTGTTGTTGCTTGTTGTTGCTGCTGCTGTTGATTGCAGTTGTAATTGTTATTGCCGAAGTATTTCTTGCGTGAAAAATTGTGCATGTTGCTGTTGTTGTTGTAGTGCTGCTGCTGTTGCTGTTGCTGCTGTGACTGCTGCTGTTGCTGGCGCTTGGCATGTTTGTTGTCCGCATTGCTGCTGCCGCTATTGTTGCTGTTGTTGCCGCTGCTACTGTTGTACTTGGTCTGCCGCAGCATATTGTTGGCCTTGTTGTTGTATTTGTTGTACTTGACTTGAGCGCCACAGCGATATTCACGCTGCTGTTGTTGCTGCTGCTGTTGGTGTTGTTGCGCCGGTGTTGTGGGTGTTGATCCTGTCGCAGCAATCGCTTCCGCTGCGCTGGCAACAGCAACATTTGTGGCAAAGATTTTCATTTCTGCTCGGCTCGCATACATAGAAGGAATCCTAAGTATAACTTTTGTCGACTGCACTTGGAGTTTTGTGTATAAAAAATGACTCAAGGCAAATGTCGCTTACTTTTAAAGTAAAACTAATTTAATTTAATTAAATTTTTTTTAAAACTTTTTTTTTTGAGAATTTTTTTTTATTTGTTTTTTTATTTTATTTATTTTTTTAGATTTTTATTTTTGATTATATTCTTTTTTATATTGTATATAATGTATTAGCACGACTTTGGATATAATTTCATGTACTGTACGTCGTTTATATATTTATTCAGTTCATTTTACTCTAGTTAGATTTTCTCTTTTTATCGGTTACTCTGTTCTTATTGGATTTGGACACCACTGTATAAAAGTAACCGTATTTCTTTTTGTATGCATTTGTCTATCCTTCGTTGCTTTGCTTGTGAGCCACCATCAGCTTGAAGCTGAGCTTGTAATGTGTGAGAGAGTGAGAGGGTACAATAAAATTCCGTTAATTTTGTGAAGCACCGCAATAGAGAGAGCGGTAGTTTTTGTATAATGCATTTAGCATGAACTGGAAAAAATGGCGCATATGCAATAAAAGTCAGAGAGCTAAACAAACACACTAAACTTCATAATGTAAATAGTATGATTAGGCACTTACCATAAAATATTTATATTAATACAAACTATATTTTTATATATGTATTTAATTAGCTTGATTCACTTAATCTAAACGGTGCTTTAAATTCGAAGTGCGCCTAGCGCACGGCTCCGTTGGCAAAATTAGCTATAACACACAATGGGTACAGTAATGGAGAACATTAAATTTAAAATTGACACATTTCATATGCTTTATTTTGATACTCCTCTCTTGAACTAAAACCTAAAAAAATCACAACGCGCTACTTTCAAGAAACGGCCAGCAACTATACATCGAAATCTACATAAATTTATCGATATATGTACATATGTACATATATTGAGCACTAGTGTTGGTTATCCACTTTGTTATCAATCGTTTAGTAACATTTTCAAACAATTCAATTTTATGTAACTGCCTTTAATAATAAACAACTTTCAACATTTCGTAAACTAATTAGCTTAATATTTGTTAAATATCGTCTTCCAGAAGAGGCGTGCAGGCAACAAGGAGTCCCGTTTTACGCAGCTAGGATGCGTTAGCCTTAAAATAAATCGAATTTTGAAATTATTAACATACACAAACCAAAAATTGATTCTCCTTTACACTTACAGAAAGTGGGCACGACGTAGACGCTCCAGGTAGCCATCAGTTGCAACGGCGGGCAGGAAAATTTTTCGCACTAGTCGTGGCATTTGTGGGAGCAACTGGCGCGTTAGTTTCAAATGTGTGTTGGCCAAACTGGCCACCTCGAAGATACACTCCTCGACGCCCTTGTCCTCTCGATCGCTCCGCAAAATGCGTTCCTGACTGACACCATGGCGAACGAGCACTTCGAGCGGCACGGACACTGCTTGCTGTCGTCCAGCATGGGGTATGGCACGCAATAGCATGGTTATGCCTTGTGCCTTGCCCAAGTGAGAGGCGGCATGATCCACCTGCATGTCCTGAACACCGCTCAGTTGCACCAGCAGATGTAGCAGTGAAGCGCAGGTCTGGTCCGCATAATCCTCTAGATCGCGCATCGTCTCAAACGCCTGATTGGGCGGTCGTTCACGTGCGGTAACCATCCGCCGTAGATATAGCTTATTAAGCTTGGAGCTACCTACGGTGCGTTTTAGTTCACGCAGCACAGGCTGATCCTTTACATAAGATTTGCTGGCATCTGTCTCGAAGCACTTGTCTATAGAGTCATACCAAAACTTTAAGCGCATTTTGGCTATTTGTGGCTCGGTGACCTGAAAGTAGCTTATCATGTTAATTGCACATTTAATAATTTTTTTTATCACCTACCTGAGCACCCACGGACCGGGAGACCTCCACATTGAAAGCGCGCAATGCAAACGCTGAGGGGCGCAACTCTTTTGGTAGCAGCAAAGTGCTCAAATAGTTCTCATAATCGTATTTTCTGTGAAGCATAAAGTAACACTCAATAAAAAGTATGTCACAGATGCAGATGTAGATGAACTTACTCCACAAGGCCCATGCAATATTTAGCACCAAATTTGTCTTCTCTGCTGATAGTATTAGTTGCTTGCTGGTGTGGCTTTCGGGGCTCCTTTTGTGTCCGATGCACGGCGTCTCCAGATGTACTGCTGCTACCCACATGTCTGGTCACAATTTGGGAGACAAATAATATTTGTCCATTGGTATTTTGTAACAGGCGCCGCATTTGTTTTTTATTTTCACTAAACAGAGCTGCTCCCCACTTTGCAGAGCAGCTCCTCATTGTCGTACTGCAACACTTGAATATTTTCGATAACTGCGATAGCTGAATGCTAATTGGAGTTCATTCCAAATGGGAATAATCAGTTAATCGAAGGTAACAAAACCAGGTATCTGGTTTTGGAACTGATATATGAAATTTAGCATTTGAAAACTCAGTGACACTGTACTCATATGGACTACTTGCTTTTCTGTATAAATAGTTTACTGTCAAAAATGCAACACATTTATATTAGGTACTCTAAATGTAAGAAAATGGAATACAAAATTTTTAATACAGTACATCCATGCTGTCAAAGTTCAAACTGTTCGATAGGTCGATGTAAGTACAGTGAGCAACCCTATAACACAACACTCATCGCTGATTTTCTTTTCTAGCCGCCATTCAAAAGAGTGTGTGTTAAGAGCATTTTGACAAAAGTTTATGGGAAAGTGATCCAAAAGTTAGCAGCATATATAACACATCACTATTAGACGGTAAGTACAGTGTTTTCTTTAGTGCAAGCTATTCTTTAGTGATTTAATCGTTGGCTATTGCACGAAAGCATCAGCAACAGCTAACTCATGTTGTCAAGCGTGTTTATTTATTTACATATGTGTGCCCGTATAAACATATAATTTATTCACTATTAACTTTAGTAATATACAAAGCTAAAGCAAATCCTAATTTTTAGTTAATATACTCTAAATACACAACTGATATCGTGTTTGGCATGTACGGATGTACTTCGTTAAGTGCGTTATCCGTTGGACAATAGGTAACGATATTACGTTTCACTTACGTGTAATCGTGAAAATAAATGTGATAGGAATTCATCAGATTCGCATAAAATACATATGGAAAATTTGTTGCGTTTGAAAACTTCTTCGAGCCAAAAATAAACTCTAAAAAACATTGACATTTAAGCCAAATATCAAAATTATTGTGTAGAGCTGCCATCAGCTCGAAAAATGCATCAATGTATCGTATTTGGTGGAGGTGGCGACAGCTCTGACAATTAATCGACAAATTTTAGTCCACGGTCGATATCTTCATTGCTTTTTTCTCTGCTCAGCAGATTTTCGTGTGCATCAAAATATAAAAATAAAAATAAATTATTTATGTATATACAGAAAAACAAATAGAATATATAAAGTGAAAACCAAGTGATAATTTATGTGAACGTATATGCTTAGGGTCAAATAGTACAATAATCGTTTGTACGAAAGTGTTATAATATAACAGCGAAAACCCCTAATGGGCGAAATAGTATAAATACATATGAGAAAATCGCTAATAGCGATAGCAATAACAAAAAGAGCAACAACAACGGCGTGTGTGTGTATATGTATGCTGTATATGTGTATATATGTGTGTGTGTTGTAATTGAACGGATAGTGATAGCAACAACACACGGTGCTCAGCAGTAAAAAGCAAAAAAAAAATATATAAAAAATAAATAAATTAATAATAATATAAAATAAAATAAATAAAAGCGGAGTGTATCCAAGTTAGAATCGTGAGACGGCGACGACATTCCATAATTGTGCTGCGTAACCAACACTGATTTATAACACTGAAAATGCAGTACACGGATCAGGATCAATAGCCTCCTGCAAAATACCCAAAATTATAAAGAGAAAGAAAGCAGGAATCAAATCGAAGTGAATCGAACGAACGGCGAGGGAGGAGTTTATCACGCGCTAGCCAATACGGAAACAACAACAACAATAGCAAAATGTTAGCTAAATGCTAAGTTATCTACAATTATTATTTATTGGCGGGTCTACACTGCTGTTCTGTGTGTGCGTGTGTGTGTGTGTACAAACCAATTGGCTAGCCTTTTAACATATTTTTTTTTTGTCAAGCTCAAAATGCATAAGCACGCGTCGTCATTCAATTAATTTAGCATATTATAGAATTTGATGAGCGCTCTGTTCCATATTGTTTTGGTTATTGCAGCTAATTGCCCACAGAGCAGAGCCTGCTGACGTATTTACAGACAGATGTATGCATGTATGTGTATGTGTGTGAGTGTGTGTGTGTTTGTGTATGCGCGCATATTTACATACATGTCACATTGTCCACTCGCTGCTCCATCCGTTGGTCCGGCAGCGTAATTGGCACACTTGCCATTTACTTCTCTATTGTCTTATAGCAGACAGATATCGTGCATAGAAATATAAATATATGTGTATATACATACATATATAGTGTCTTTATTGTCGAGAAATCAACTCGAAGCGTAGTTTATTTGTTTTTCTCATCCTTGTTTGACTAAGGGGTGTTCTGTGGGGCTTTTTTTTACCCCTCAAGGTTGTCTCCAGCGCGCCTCAATTGTATAACAGAATTCTGTTTGTCTATTGAGTGTGCGTGTGTATGTGTGTGCGTGTGTGTGTGAGTGTGCTCTGTTTATCTTTTGATATTCAATACCCTGACTGCAATCTCTCTTAAGTCACTACAGTAATCTATCTAAATAGTGCACTACGGCTAAATTCAAAAAAAAAAAAAAAAAAAAAAAAAAAGAAATAATATCATTATTAATGGAGCTACAGCTAAATGATTTCACTGTTTTCGGCAGTTGCTTTTGTCAGTTAACAACTAACAAATAGCTTAATTCAAATGCTATTTTTGTTAATGGACTGTTGGAGTGTGAAAAAAATACATACATATATAATATTCCAATTTCGACTTGGAAGTCGGCGACATGACGCACTTGCCAAATACTGTTAACATTTCCACTGGCAACACGACTAACTATGTTATATGTGTATTAAATTGTATTACAAACTTATGTAATACCCAAGCTCTAATTAGTTATTTACTTGCTCTCCTTACAAATTTTGCTGTCCGCTTAAATTTCTGTCACTTCCAATGTGTGCATTAACTTATCTCGAGAACTGTTTGTTATCCTATTGTTATTATTGGTAATTTGTTGTTGTTTGTATTAACGCAAAACAATTTAATTGTATTGAGCCGTTCTCGAGATTAGCGTTAACCGCAACAACTTGCATTGTTATCAGCTGCCGCATTATCAGCTAACATTCTATTTCCGTAGGTGCGTTAGATATCAGATTCTTTTCGCCTTAGATAAACTTGTATTGCGATTAGAATCCATATGAGAAAAACAAAGAAAGCGAATAACAATAGAATCAAAGCTGAAATAACACGAATACAATTTTGTATCGAGTGCAAAGCTGCAGTAAACAACATTTTTGTGTTAAATTACATTGAATGCTTTTGAGCAACGACACAGACGTAGCAGGGCTGGTATTTATTGATTTGGCGAGCCATCAAGAATGCTCACTGTATGTTTACACACACGCACAAGCGCAGTTTCAAGTGTGGCCTCGCCATGAAACGTGGTAGGCCAATGTTTACTAATAAATTTTTACAGAGAACAACAACTGGAGAATCGGCTGCCATAAATCGAACTCGATATTTGCGAAAATATTCAATAAATAGCGCACACGCATCCAGGTAGAAGGACAGACGCATCATAGAGCGAGCATAGGCCACATCAGTGGAGGTGGAGGAGGAGGAGTCGGTGCTGGTATTGGTGTTGTGGTTAGTGGTCGCGGGTCTCCATACCATAAATAACCATGGTCAGTACGAATCTGGTGGTGCCAGTGGTGCTGTGGGGTCCCACAGCGCCGACACATTGCATATCGAGCGTCTTTCTATCGGACGATCAATGCACACTGGTCACCGGCTGCTACGACGGACAGATCTGTCTCTGGCAAGTGGAGCCGGCCACATTGAAGATGTCACCGCGTTGCCTGCTCGTTGGCCACTCGGCGCCGGTGTTGTGCCTGGTGCGCGCCTCATTGCTGCCGGAGAACAATTTTCTGGTCAGCTCGTCGGAGAATGGTGAGATGTGCACCTGGGATCTGATCGACGGCAAATGCACTGAGGCCGTCAAGCTGCCACAGGTGCATACACAAATCCAAAGCTATCACACGGCCAACAGCGAAGACGTGCGTCTCTTCTGCATTGGCTACTATGCTGAAATTATGGTCATGGACCCATTCAGTCTCGAGGTTATTTACGTGCTCAGCTCAAAGGTGAAGCCGGACTGGATATCAGCCATACACGTGTTACGTCCAATGCGCCGCAAAGACGACGTCGTGCTGGCCATCACGACCACCGGCACCGTCAAGGTCTGGACTCTGACGGGCAACGAGAACAAGCATGCGGAGCCCATCTATGAGAATGAGTCGAAGGAGATACGCTGCTTGAACGCCATCACCATGAACTGTTGTGCCCAGAATCAGCGCACGGTGCTCCTCGTCTGCACCAAATATTGGCAGATCTATGATGCTGGCGATTTTACAGTACTCTGCTCCGTTATTGCGCCTGCACGCGAGCGTTGGCAGGGCGGCGATTTCATAACCTCAGATCGCGTTATGCTGTGGACGGACGAGGGCAAGGGGTACTTGTATAAATTGCCAGCCAACTGCATACCAGACAATAAGGAGTTTCATTCAAAGAGCGTAGTACGCGACGCACCCTATCTGTACTATGTGCTGCAGCATGCCGGAGATAAGGTGCTCTCCTGCCCGCCAGCGATGAAACTCCTAATGGGTCAACAGTCACACTTTTTGCTGCGCGGCGATTCTGAGGGCTACATCTCGGTGTGGAATGTGCCGGAGGTGCCATTGGATAACATTAGTATATTGCAGGCAAAGCAAATGCCGCCGCGCATACAGAAGCCGCATGTGTGCACCTCACTGGTGGAGGCCTGGTCGATGATGGATCCGCCGCCGGTGGGCATACTCGATCAGCTTTCGCGCATCACCGACTCACCGGTGAAGCTCACATCGAGCATTTATCTGCCGCAACAGAGTCGCCTAGTCATTGGCCGCGAGGATGGTAGCATTGTCATTGTGCCGGCCACACAGACGGTCATGATGCAGCTGCTCGTCGGCATCAAGCAGAATTTCAGTGATTGGCCATCGCATCAGATACTCTACGGGCATCGCGGACGTGTCAATTGCCTGCTCTGCCCCTCGATGGTACATCCACGCTATGAGAAGTCCCATCTGCTTTCGGGCGGCATTGACTTCGCTGTCTGCCTGTGGGACTTGTACAGCGGCAGTCTGTTGCATCGGTTCTGCGTGCACGCGGGAGAGATTACGCAGCTGCTGGTGCCGCCCGAGAGCTGCAGTCCACGCATACTCAAGTGTATCTGCTCGGTGGCCTCGGATCATTCAGTTACCTTGGTCAGTTTGCAGGAGCGCAAATGCGTCACGCTGGCCAGCCGACATCTGTTTCCGGTTGTGACCATCAAATGGCGTCCACTCGATGATTTCCTCATTGTCGGCTGCTCCGATGGCAGCGTCTATGTGTGGCAAATGGAAACGGGTCACTTGGATCGTGTGCTGCATGGCATGCTAGCCGAGGAGGTGCTGTCAGCATGCGATGAGCAGGCGCTGGAGGATGGCGGCGGAGGCTCCGGTGGCAACGCGGCCAATTCGGCCAGCGAGATGGGCATGGC